GATGATTCCCTGAAGTCATTTGAAGTTGACTGCCCATCTGTTCTGCAGTCTTCTTCCACAGTTCACTTGTGAATCGGACATCTCGGTCACTAACGATTGACTTTGGTAAACCAAAGTCACKCACCCAGTTGTCTTTGAACAACTTGATGACGAAGTCAGTTCTTGCGGTCTCTGGCATAGCCACTAGTCTAGCGTACTTGGTGAATCRGTCGATGATGAYGAAGATGTGCCTCTTGCCAYTCTTACTAGTCACCAGGGTGTCCATGAAATCCACGGTCACACTCTGTCCTGGACCAGCAGGGATAGGCAAAGGCTTCAATAACCCAAGCGGTGCTTGAGTTCGCGGCTTATCCCGCTGACAGACCTGATAGGTCTCTACGTATTTCTTTGCGTCATCAAACATACCAGGCCACCAAAATCGCTGTACTAAGTTAGCACTCGTCTTCTTGTAGCCAAAGTGCCCAGCTACGTCATGGCATTCGCCTAAAAATAAACTACGCAAGGGTTCACTAGATGAAACTACTAACCTTTTTATTCCTGCCTTATCAAGATAGAGTAACCCGTCCACCATCACAAACTCACTTTCCATGGCGTTGTCTTTTGCCTGAAGCTTGCAAATGATGTCCATCGTGACAGGGTCTTCCTGATAGGCTCCCACCAATGATTGAGTTACTTCTTCAGATACGCCAAAGTCAGAAACTAGCGCACCTAGGTAGTCTGCTCTACGTGATAGCGCATCAGCAACCTTGTTATACTCTCCCTTCAGGTACTCGAGCTTGAAGTCATATTGATCTATGACCTCAATCCATCGCTTGAGTGAGTCAGAAAGAGTCGGTTGAGTCTTGATCCATTTGAGGGTCTGATGATCAGTCCTCAAGTAGAAGAACCTTCTTAAAAGGAAATGTCTCCAATGGACAAGTGCCTTGTAGAGAGCATAGAGTTCCCTTTCCTAGGTGGACTTAGCCAACTTCTTGGATGGCATCTTCTTACTCATGTACTCAATCGGTGTCAACTTTTTCCCATCCTGCTGAGCCAACACTGTGCCAATGCCGTATTGGCTTGCGTCAATGGTCACTATGAATGGCTTTTGCGGATCGGGAACCATGAGGACCTCATGATTCATGAGCGCATGCTTCAATCTCTTGAAAGCACCCTCGCATTCATCACTCCAGTCCCATGGTGTGTCAAGTCGAGTTAGATCAGTCAAAGGAGAGGCGACTGTAGAATAGTTCTTTACGAAGTTCCTATAGTAGCCGCACATTCCTAAGAATGATCTGACCTCAGTGACTGCCTGAGGTCGTGGCCAGTCTCGAATACTAGCCACCTTCGCATCTTCCGGCCTAATCCCCTCCGCGGATACTTCATGACCCAAGTATAGTATCTTAGTACGGCCAAACTCGCACTTCTCTAAGTTGACCTTATACTTGTGCTGTCGCAGGAGTGAGAGTACCTTCTCAACATGTTGTGCGTGCTCCTCGACAAACTTACTAAAGATAAGAATGTCGTCTAAGTAGACCACGACAAACTTATCTAAATGGTCATGGAAGATCCGATTCATAGCGTAGTGGAATGTACACGGCGCATTACAAAGACCGAAAGGCATCACAACAAACTCATACAGACCATATCTAGTCTGAAAAGTTGTCTTGTGTTGGTCCTCGGGTCTTATTGCGATCTGATGATATTCGGATTTCAAGTCTATCTTGCTATAGTACTTGCATCCCTGCACCCTATCCAATAGGTCGTCTATGCGAGGTAGAGGCTCTGCGTTCTTCACAGTGATGGCATTGAGGCCTCTATAGTCAATGCACATCCTCAAAGTACCCCCCTTCTTCAGTACGAATAGAACGGGTGATCCGTAAGGGGAACTACTAGGCCGAATCCAACCCTTCTCTGTTAGCTCCTTAAGCTGTCGCTGAAGTTCATCTAACTCGGCGGGGGTTATCCTATAGATCCCTCCCTTTGGGGTCTTACTCCCTGGAATGATTTCTATAGCGTGGACGACTTCCCTTTCAACAACTCGTGTGGGCTCCTCGAACAGATCAGGGAATTTAGCAACGACGCGTTCTATCTCTGGGTGTGTTTTAACGCCCCCCCCCTTCTCAGAGACATACACAAGGTACATACCCTCCTCTTGGTTTTGCTTGTAATAGTTGTAGAACGCTGATGCGCACAAGCAACCATATGTATCTATAATACTACTGGCCTTGAACTTGGTCAATCTGACTGTTCGGCCATCGGGCAACTTATGCTTGAGCACCTTCTTATCCCAGTCGAACTGGGGCTTAGCAACTTCGAGGTAGTACATGCCTAATAACATGTCAAATGGYAAGTCGTCGCTAACCAAGAACGAGATCTTATGGTTAAGCTCACCTCCTCCATAGGAGAAGGTACAGACTACGTCCTTGATGTAGTCTGTTACAATCATGCGCTCCTTGTTGGCCAAAGTAGATGCTACTGGTCTACTAAGGTGCCATACCCGGTCCTGTAGGTGCAACCTTTCCAAACAGTCGCGACTTATGTAATTCCGCGTGGAGCCTATGTCTATGAAAGCACCACATTTGCGGCCTCCTACATCGACTTCCACCACAAAATGTCCCTCTCTAGGACCTTTTCTCTGCGCCACCCAAGACTCGCGAGGGTCCTTGTTTGACCACTCACTCTCCAAGTCTTCTAAGGCTTCAGACACATCTAACGTACAGAGCATAGTTTGGTCTAGTTGTGTCTGCGGGGTGACTAAGGGGTCATTAGCCTTGGCCTTGTCATGAAGTGGGGAAGGTATCAATCCCACTTCATCTTGAGTTGAAGCAGCTAATACTTCCACTGGTCTAGAAGCCTGGGAATAAGTTGCCCCCATCTTTGGAGCAACCTTTTGCGTAACCTTAGCGTTCTGGCACTTGTATTACGAGTGTCCGTATTCCCCGCAGTTGATACAAGCGCCACGCGTTCGGCGGTCACGCCACACGTCTTGATAAAGACCTGCCTTAACCCACTCAGCCTGTTTAGTTTGATTGGAGGCGGTCTTCCCTTGACCCCTAGGTTGGCCCTTCCCTCGACCAACTGCCTTAGTCTTGACTGTTGCGGCGAGGGTGCTACCCTCAGTTACCTCCTCGCCGTCATACTCTGTATAGTCCATCATGTCAGAGAGTTCGTCGATCTCTGTTTGAGTCCCATCTGACTCAACCATCATCAACTTAGCCCCCTTCTTCTTCCATTCATGAAGACTCTTCTTCTTCTTTGAGTCATTCCCTAAGGTGGGTTGAGCATTGCCTAGCGTGGCCTCCAAGTCTAAGGCTTTCCTAAACAATGTCTCAAACGAGTGGTACTCGGTGCGTGCCTCACTGGGTAGTAAGTTCCTGATGTTCTCTGGGAGACATCTGACAAACGTAGTCAATAGGAACTGGTCGCTGTAGTTAATGCCTGGGACGAGAATCAGGCTCTCAACGGTAGTCGTAAGCTCTCCAACCAACTTGAACTTTCGTTGGTCTAGTTTGTTAATGGCATCAGTGGCCCTTTGTGCCTCCTGTGGGTTTTGCCATCGAGCTTCTACCATTTCCATAAATTGGTCTAACGTCAGAGACTTAGCCCAGTCCGCCATGCGTCTCCCATACCCGGCCTTTATTTCTTCACCATCTAACAATTTGGTTGCCTTACCCTCCAGGTAAGATGCCGCAGTTACCACTTCGTACTCTAGTAAGGTTCTCTTGGCCTTCACCCAAACCGGGACTGTTCTCAACCAAGTGTTGAGTTCTTCGTCCTTTCTTTCCCCTGAGAAGGGAAGAGGCGGTTTCATCGGGGTCTTAGGGTACCAATGCCCTTGTTGCTGTCCCTGTGGAGGAACAAGTTGTTACGGTGATGTAGCAATCACCGCTGGACCCGAAGAAGAAGACGCAACAGTCTATGAGACTGTTGCAGACGTACCACTGGGCTGTATACCAGCTTGAACTGGAAAGGGGTCTGACATCGCCGATAACGACAACGGCGATTGTGCTGGTGGTCGGAATCCTGGCCTTGTCAAAGCATCCAGGATCTGGTTTAGAGTGCTCTGCATGAAGTCTAATTTGCTGTCCACTTGTGCGTGCAATGACAACATATTCTTCTTCAATACTTTCAGCGGGTCAGTCAATGCTGACTCATCCAAGCCCTCTAATTCAGCCTTGTCATCCTCTAAAGTTTCAAGCCTGGCTGCTCTTGTTTTCATTGCATTTTCTCTATCGGTAGCATCTTTCAGGTCCTTCTCTAACTTACGACGAAGCCTCTCGACCTGCTGGATCTCTCTGAGCTCCCTCTCACGCGGGGTCAACGGGCTGAACTGCGCCCCTGCCATTTGACTAAAAGACTGTCTAGAACCTGTGGAACCGGAAGTGCCCGAGGAACTTGTGGAACTCGTTGGCATTCCCAACTGGCTCCCATTAGTCCCTTACGAGGACGCAGACGATGACGCAGCAGAGCTTGCGCCGTTAGCCATCGCAGCTGCTCTGGCTGTTGTTGCCTGCTCTCCTGCTGCTCTGTTTGCTTCCTGTAGTCCTGCTGCTAGAGCACGGGCTCTACGTATCCGTCCTTCTTCTCCCGGCTCCAAGGCCTGGAACACGTGCGGTACCCTTAGTGCCTGTGCACGTGTTAGTCTCCTACCGTCAGCTCTATCATCAACAGGGTCTGACCCACTCATTAGTTAAACAGATAGTGTCTACACTAGAATCCCCTAATGGAATCCTACCGCAGCATGTATCTGACCGGCACGTAATATTTTTATAAATAGTTGTGTCCGGTGAGTTCCCTACTATACCGAATCAAGTGGTATGTCGACAACATTCACACAGATTGTCTACATAGTCTAGATGCACCCTGATTGGTTCGCTTACAGCAGCATTAGTTAGAACTGGCTATGGTAGCATACAACAGTCCTACACTAATCTGTCTGTGAGGTTAGCAGTGCGTCAACCAACTAATCAAAGGTACAAAAAGACGATGTAGCAAATGTATGATTGATGAGTATGGTTGTGTATAAAGTTGAGCACCAATTGGAACCTACCCTTCCCCTCAATTCAACATACCGAACAACATCTTTGAGCGAGCACTGTCTTCGTGTGTGTATCGGCCCACCCCTGTGCCCAAGTCAGAGCCAAGTAAGCCAGCGAGCCCACTCTTATTTACCCTCGTATGAAAACGAGCCTTACACCCGGATGATCTGGCTGATCAGGAGGATTATTAAGAGCGCCCCCATCTCTTCAGGAATTCTTTAACGTCGCAGTCAGGACGACGATCACAGCCAGAATCATTCCGAGTACCCAACCAGAAATGTTTATAGACGGTCTGGTAAGCGTCTCATACAAGGCTGACACACTTGGCAAGACTTCTATCTGGCGCAGCAAAGTGCCTT